GAAGAGCGCTGCGGGTCCGACTGCCTGGAGCCAGGGACAGCTTGGGGCAGGGCTGTCCCCAAACCTTGTCCCTCTCCGCAAGGCCCCCAGCATGGGCACCCGCAGCCCTCCCCACACGTGCCACCTCTCGCCCGTGGCATTTTCCTCATTTGTGCTGAGATCTACCAAAGAATTTGGGAAATATTTTTTTGTTGTTGCTTTTAAGTGTGGTAAAGTGAATTTTGGCTTGTGATTATGCATAGTTTGGGTAAGACTTAGCAGGAGTTTCCAATCCAGTCAGGTGTGATGAGAAGGGAGGCTTCTGAAAGCTGTTCAGCAGCATGCCAGAGCGTAGCAAGATGTTATTTATAGAGTGTGTTTTTGACACGACTTGAAATTCATAAACAATCATATTGACAGCTCGGCTGTGCTTCTTCACAGCATTCCATCCAAAACAGGAGATTTTTACAATTTGTACTGTCATCAGAGCTAGTTGGGACCTTTTGGGTGGAACATTTGATTTGGCAAAGCCATCCCTCTTCACAGAAGTGGTTGTAGAACCACAGAACTGTTTGGGTCGGAAGGGACCTTCAAAGATCATCTAGTCCGACCCCCCCTGCCGTGGGCAGGGACATCTTGCACTAGATTGGGTTGCTCAAAGCCCCATCCAACCTGACCTTGAACACTTGCGATGATGGGACATCCACAACTTCTCTGGGCAACCTGTGTCTCGTTTAATCTTCTCTCAGGAGGTTTCTCAGGTCAACACTGGAAGCAAAGCCCAAAGCAAAGCCCCCAACACGCAGGAGAGGAAGGACTCCTCTCTTGATTTGGGTTAGAGACCCAAATCCGCCAGTCCTAGCTCGCAGGCAAAGAGCCTGGTGACTGAGCCTCCATCTATTCTGGGACAGTCTCTGTTTGGCTCTGGCTTTCTGTGAGGCTCTCTGTCTTTGCTTTCTTCAATTATGTTTCTCTATTAACATTTTCCAGGGGTTATGCTTTTGTTCCACATCAAAACAACACAGATCCCGCAGCATTCCTCAAAGGACGCAACTCCCGTTCTCTGGCTGGCCCAAGTTATCATGGAAATTATTAGTTTCCTTAAGCATTTATTGTACTCAGCCAGAAATACAAGCTTGCCCTGTTTCGATCTGAAGCACTATGCACGGAAAGGAGAAAATTCCACATAGTACCACAAACATCATGCTTGCAAGAAGGTGGTATGTTAATTAATAAAGACTGATTTAACATATTTATGAATTTGTTATGCAGAGAGAGATGGAAAGATATATTTCCTTATTAGTTTTTTGAATGTCTGATATTGTAATTACGTTCTATTTCGTGTCTTTCTTACAAACACTCTAATAGTGTTTCTAATAGTATAATTGTGTTAGATAATTATTTCAGCAAAGGGAAGGAGAAATAAGGGGATATAGGCCAGATGAACGTATTCAGAACTTGAAATAGGAGGGACAGCTGTGGGGGTAGACCCTGGAAGAGAGATCCTTTTATAAACAAGGACCTGTGGAGAGTGGGATCTGCTTAGGAACAAAGGAGGGTATGAGAGAGAGGGTCAGAAGAGCCAGGAGAAAAGAATCGTGTTTTTCCCAAAGGGTTTTGATTGAACTGGACTGGTAGGTGTGTGAATCAGAGAGATGTGGCAGTGGGCTCTATGGCTGCATATCTTCGCTAATGCAAGGAGGAGAGAAGCTGCCTCTTTTACAGGCTGCAGTGAGAATAGTGGAGGTAACCTGGCTCGGACTGATCCAGCCCTTTCAGTGCTGTGGGTTGAAGACCATTTTTGAAGTGTCTCCAGAGGACGCAGACAGAAATGTCATCTTGGGTCGGCAAGCCTCTGAGCTGCTGCCAGCCCAGCCCAGCGCTGCTCCAGGACTGGTGAGACCAGAGCCATCTCTTCCCCCAAAGGGGAGATGGCATTTCATGGAGCTAAGCACGTTAGGAGGCATTTGCCCACTCCGATATGGCCACTGATAGCCCGAACCAGCACGGCTGGTTGAATCACCCCTTGGGCAGAAGCCAACCTGTGGGTTGTAAATTGAACCACAGAGCTGCAGAGAGCAGAGAAGTTGTTAGTCAAGGGAAGTGAGATAAAGGGAAGGTGGGGATTGCAGAGCCTTTGGCAAATAGTGCCTTAACTGACGTGGGACAGCCCTCTCGCATGGCTGTGCCCAGGGCCAGGCTGACAACACTTCGAACAAGTTGTAGAAAAAATTGGGGTTCCCGGTGCTGCATGGAGTACTTAAGCACTCACCTTACATTAAAAGTGACTGCTGGACATCTTTTGCTGGGTCCACTGGCATTCTTCACAGTATTAACCATATGCGATTTTACGTGAGGGGTACCTGTGGAAACCTGAGTGTGAACTTAAACTCCTGTGTTAGAATATTGCCCAGCTGGGGCACAGTGGAGCAATATTTTCTTCTGCACAGTGACTGGGGTAGAGAGATGTTCATTTTTCGAGTTTTCCTCACCTCAGAAAACCTTCAGGGGCAAAAAAGGGTAGAGGTTTGCAATTCTTCATTACAGTCTGTATTTTTGCATTACTATAGCACTTAAAAACTCCAGTTCTGTGTCAAGAAGAGACAAAGAATAGAAGACAGTGATTCCTGGTGGAGTTCTCACGAGTCGGGAGAGCCTGGGGCTCTGACCCAGGGTCCAGCGTACGGCTGGGGCAGAAGCCTGCATTGGGGCAGTAACCACACTGGGACAGAGCGGTGGGTACTTGCAAGAGTTTCAAGAGATGAAACTCTCCGTGACTACACGTAGACTCAGAGATTCACCCCCAAAACTCCCATAGTTATTTTTCAGCTGATTTGGGGACTGCCTGAAGCCACTTTGTAGCTTTCCTCAAGGTTTCCTGCAAAAGACTAAGGAAAACAGCCTTATTCTTACCCACACGAAGGTCTTTTCACTGCCCTACCTACAGAAAAGTTATGTACTGTGTCCTTTATAACACACTTAGCTTCTCTACATCCATTTTGGCCACTGTAAAGAGAATACAGCCCAGAATAGTATACAAAAGGTTTGGGATAAGAATAGAAATTCTTTGCAGATTCCTTCTGGATGCATCAGGAAGAATCAGGGGCCAGATTCTGCCCTTAGTCCCTGCAGATGAATACTGGTGTAGCTCCCTAAAATCAATAAAATTACTCTGCACTTACACAGTGTCAGATTAGAAGCTACGAAATCAAAGCCAAAGTCTAGTCTGGCAGTGCTCACAGCAAGCCATAAAACCCTCTATCGTTACTTAGAAGTGGTTCTCTGTCCCAGAAAAAAAAAGAGGAGTGTTAAATCTGACCTTACAGCCCTGCAAGGTTAGATGCCAGTGTTTCCATCTCGTTGAGAAGACAGCAAACTCTTTCTAGTGGCGCCGCGCTATTATTTCCTGGGTCATAAGATGCTGCTCCTTAAATGCCTTGCTGGTTCAAGATTACTTACCGAATCCTAACTGCTGTGGGTCTGAGATAAGCTATACTAGGAAAGAACTTTATCCCTGGAGAAAGAAAGAGAAGACATTTCCCAAACCTAGCATCTGTTGGCATCTACGGAGCTGTTTGATGCATTAGAGATGGCCCCTTGGGAGCAGGAGTAAGAGTGTGCTTCTATTTTTGCACGAAATCGGGCTCGGCAGAGGGCATGATGATGCATGAATATCCATGTGGATCTGCTTTCTCACTGTCGTTTCCTCAGAGTGAGGGGGGTGGCAAAGGATGGCGGTAACAAGAGGGATGCAGACAGCCCTCCACATTACCGATCAAGGCAGCGGGGGGGTTCTTCCTTCACGCACTTTCTACAGACGGGCGGCTGCCAGCCAGTAATGTAACTCACGCTGCTGCTGCTCTTTGCAGGGAGACAACTCCGTTTCCGCTAGCTGCTTGGCTCGATTTGGCGTTTTTTTATTATAGCCCAACATAGCATGACTATGCAACTGATTCACTGCACCATGGCTGGGGTGAGGACTGCAATCGCACCGTCTCAGGGGATGCAGTGGGAGTACGAGAGTGCGAACTCCGGCTCTACTCCCGGCCTGACTTTGGGACTTGAAAGAGAGGGATGTGCTACGTTTTAAATATTCACGCATACACCCTTAGCTCCTACGCTTGAGCTTTCAGGTATTTTAGGTCAGAGCTAGTCTTCTAACCAGCCTGAAGCTATGCTGCACCGTGCTGTAATCCTGACAATTTTTTCAACTAAATGTGCTTGAATCTAGTAATTTTCCTGATGGCTCACCTCCAAGAAAAATGGTGTCGATCATTTGGTAGGTTTCAGGGTTGGGTGTGAGTCAGCTCTGAGTCAGGCAGCAGCTCCAGCTCCACGAAGTGCTGGTCCCCCTGTGCTGGCACGACCCCGTGGGGCCGCAGCCCTGCGACGGACGCTGCTCCCGAGCCTCCCCAGCAGCACCGTGTGGGAACCCAGGCGCTGGGCACTTGCAAAGCAAAGGGGTGAGTCCACAGCCCCGCGCTTTCGGGGGTTCAGGTGCTACGAAGCCCTCTCGGCCTCGGAAGGTGGCAGGGTGCGTATATGATGCTGGCTCCAGGCAGGGAGAAGGAGATGAGGACCCGTCTCGCCCCTGCGGAGGGGCCCATCTGACCGGGGTGCGGGCACGGCGAGTCACTGCCGTGCAAACAACTTCCCTCCCCAGAGCCAGGAGGAAGCAAGGAAGGAGTTTTGTCCAGAGACCTCTGTCCCTGGCACGGTGTTTCTGTTTATATTCACATTTATATCAAGTAGGGTGGTGTCCCGGTCCTCAGGCAGTCGAGAGCAAAGCCAGACGCGGTCACTGTGTGTGTTGTGCAAAGCGGCGTGACTGACGGGTTCCTCGCTCTCTCTTTTCTCTCCCCCTCCCCGGCGGGTGGTCTAATTGAAGCAACGCCCCGTGAAGCAGTCCCTGAGCGCCTGCATGTGCCCTGAGCGCCTGAATGTGCCGAGAATCCCACTGGAAATGCCTCCTCCTCTCCATCCTCATGTACGGCTGCCTGGGTGCGGTGGCCTGGTGTCAGCTGGCCCGGGTCACCAAGCTCAGCTTCGATAGCTCCTTCAAGGGCAAGTCCATGATCTATCATGACAGCCCGTGCTCGGATGGCTACGTCTATATCCCGCTGGCCTTCCTCTCTATGCTGTACGTGGTGTACCTGGTGGAGTGCTGGCACTGCCACGTCAAGAGAGAGCTGCAGTACAAGGCGGACGTGGACAGCGTCTATGAATGCATCAACCGCATGCAGCAAGCCACTCCGTGCATCTGGTGGAAGGCCATCAGCTACCACTTTGTTCGGCGAACCCGGCAGGTAACCCGGTACCGCAACGGCGATGCCTACACCACCACGCAAGTCTACCACGAGAGGGTCAACACCCACGTGGCTGAAGCTGAGTTTGACTACTCTCACTGTGGATACAAGGACATCTCCAAGGAGCTCCTGGGCCTGGAGAGCTACACAGCCACCAAGCTGAGGTTCACCAAGTGCTTCAGCTTTGCCAACATTGAGTCTGAGAACTCTTACCTGACTCAGAGGGCTCACTTCTTCACGGAGATCGAGGGGCTGGATGACTACATGGAGGTGAGGGAAGGCATGCAGCTCAAAAATGTGGACTTTAAAGAGCTCATGATGGCCTACGGGGACCCAGATCACCTCCCGTGGTACGTGTCCCACTACACTTTCTGGGTGGCAGCTATCCTGATGATCTCGTGGCCGCTCAGGGTGCTCATAGAGTATCGGACTGCTTACGTCCACTACCACGTGGAGAAGCTGCTGGGCCTGGAGTACACGGCACCCACGGCGGCGGAGGAGCCCTTGTACCGGTACCGCATGCCCCGAGACGCCACGCAGGACAGCACCGAGCTGGAGTGGCACATCTGCACCAACCGGCAGCTGATCCCCAGCTACTCGGAGGCCATGCTCATGGACCTGGCTGACTCCCTGGCCTACAACAGCTACGCCGTGTGCCAGTACGGCGAAACGGCCCACGGCTGCGAACGCTGCAACCGTGCCTCCAGCACCTCCTCCATCTTCTCCCGCCCACCTTTTCAACGCCGCCGTG